CTGTTCTAGAATAACAAAGCCTATTATTGTTCTTACTTTTACCAAGATTCCCTAATAAATAATACTTAAATATCGATGGCTGTTCTAGAATAACAAAGCCTATTATTGTTCCTACTTTTACCAAGATTCCCAAATAAATAATACTTAAATATCGATGGCTGTTCTAGAATAACAAAGCCTATTATTGTTCTTACTTTTACCAAGATTCCCTAATAAATAATACTTAAATATCGATGGCTGTTCTCGAATAACAAAGCCTATTATTGTTCTTACTTTTACCAAGATTCCCTAATAAATAATACTTAAATATCGGTGGCTGTTCTAGAATAACAAAGCCTATTATTGTTCTTACTTTTACCAAGATTCCCTAATAAATAATACTTAAATATCGATGGCTGTTCTAGAATAACAAAGCCTATTATTGTTCCTACTTTTACCAAGATTCCCAAATAAATAATACTTAAATATCAATAGCTGTTCTAGAATAACAAAGCCTATTATTGTTCTTACTTTTACCAAGATTCCCTAATAAATAATACTTAAATATCGATGGCTGTTCTCGAATAACAAAGCCTATTATTGTTCTTACTTTTACCAAGATTCTCTAATAAATAATACTTAAATATCGATGGCTGTTCTAGAATAACAAAGCCTATTATTGTTCTTACTTTTACCAAGATTCCCTAATAAATAATACTTAAATATCGATGGCTGTTCTAGAATAACAAAGCCTATTATTGTTCTTACTTTTACCAAGATTCCCTAATAAATAATACTTAAATATCGATAGCTGTTCTAGAATAACAAAGCCTATTATTGTTCTTACTTTTACCAAGATTCTCTAATAAATAATACTTAAATATCGATGGCTGTTCTAGAATAACAAAGCCTATTATTGTTCTTACTTTTACCAAGATTCCCTAATAAATAATACTTAAATATCGATGGCTGTTCTAGAATAACAAAGCCTATTATTGTTCTTACTTTTACCAAGATTCCCTAATAAATAATACTTAAATATCGATAGCTGTTCTAGAATAACAAAGCCTATTATTGTTCTTACTTTTACCAAGATTCTCTAATAAATAATACTTAAATATCGATGGCTGTTCTAGAATAACAAAGCCTATTATTGTTCTTACTTTTACCAAGATTCCCAAATAAATAATACTTATATATCATGGCTGTTCTAGAATAACAAAGCCTATTATTGTTCCTACTTTTACCAAGATTCCCAAATAAATAATACTTAAATATCGATGGCTGTTCTAGAATAACAAAGCCTATTATTGTTCTTACTTTTACCAAGATTCCCAAATAAATAATACTTAAATATCGATGGCTGTTCTAGAATAACAAAGCCTATTATTGTTCCTACTTTTACCAAGATTCCCAAATAAATAATACTTAAATATCGATGGCTGTTCTAGAATAACAAAGCCTATTATTGTTCCTACTTTTACCAAGATTCCCAAATAAATAATACCTAAATATCGATGGCTGTTCTAGAATAACAAAGCCTAATATTGTTCCTACTTTTACCAAGATTCCCAAATAAATAATACTTAAATATCGATGGCTGTTCTAGAATAACAAAGCCTTTTATTGTTCCTACTTTTACCAAGATTCCCAAATAAATAATACTTAAATATCGATGGCTTTTCTAGAATAACAAAGCCTATTATTGTTCTTACTTTTACCAAGATTCCCAAATAAATAATACTTAAATATCGATGGCTGTTCTAGAATAACAAAGCCTATTATTGTTCCTACTTTTACCAAGATTCCCAAATAAATAATACCTAAATATCGATGGCTGTTCTAGAATAACAAAGCCTAATATTGTTCCTACTTTTACCAAGATTCCCAAATAAATAATACTTAAATATCGATGGCTGTTCTAGAATAACAAAGCCTATTATTGTTCCTACTTTTACCAAGATTCCCAAATAAATAATACTTAAATATCGATGGCTGTTCTAGAATAACAAAGCCTATTATTGTTCTTACTTTTACCAAGATTCCCAAATAAATAATACTTAAATATCGATGGCTGTTCTAGAATAACAAAGCCTATTATTGTTCCTACTTTTACCAAGATTCCCAAATAAATAATACTTAAATATCGATGGCTGTTCTAGAATAACAAAGCCTATTATTGTTCCTACTTTTACCAAGATTCCCAAATAAATAATACTTAAATATCGATGGCTGTTCTAGAATAACAAAGCCTATTATTGTTCTAACTTTTACCAAGATTCCCAAATAAATAATACTTAAATATCGATGGCTGTTCTAGAATAACAAAGCCTATTATTGTTCCTACTTTTACCAAGATTCCCAAATAAATAATACTTAAATATCGATGGCTGTTCTAGAATAACAAAGCCTATTATTGTTCCTACTTTTACCAAGATTCCCAAATAAATAATACTTAAATATCGATGGCTGTTCTAGAATAACAAAGCCTATTATTGTTCTAACTTTTACCAAGATTCCCAAATAAATAATACTTAAATATCGATGGCTGTTCTAGAATAACAAAGCCTATTATTGTTCCTACTTTTACCAAGATTCCCAAATAAATAATACTTAAATATCGATGGCTGTTCTAGAATAACAAAGCCTATTATTGTTCCTACTTTTACCAAGATTCCCAAATAAATAATACTTAAATATCGATGGCTGTTCTAGAATAACAAAGCCTATTATTGTTCTTACTTTTACCAAGATTCCCAAATAAATAATACTTAAATATCGATGGCTGTTCTAGAATAACAAAGCCTATTATTGTTCCTACTTTTACCAAGATTCCCAAATAAATAATACTTAAATATCGATGGCTGTTCTAGAATAACAAAGCCTATTATTGTTCCTACTTTTACCAAGATTCCCAAATAAATAATACTTAAATATCGATGCCTGTTCTAGAATAACAAAGCCTATTATTGTTCCTACTTTTACCAAGATTCCCAAATAAATAATACTTAAATATCGATGGCTGTTCTAGAATAACAAAGCCTATTATTGTTCTTACTTTTACCAAGATTCCCTAATAAATAATACTTAAATATCAATGGCTGTTCTAGAATAACAAAGCCTATTATTGTTCTTACTTTTACCAAGATTCCCTAATAAATAATACTTAAATATCGATGGCTGTTCTAGAATAACAAAGCCTATTATTGTTCCTACTTTTACCAAGATTCCCAAATAAATAATACTTAAATATCAATGGCTGTTCTAGAATAACAAAGCCTATTATTGTTCTTACTTTTACCAAGATTCCCTAATAAATAATACTTAAATATCGATGGCTGTTCTCGAATAACAAAGCCTATTATTGTTCTTAATTTTACCAAGATTCCCTAATAAATAATACTTAAATATCGATGGCTGTTCTAGAATAACAAAGCCTATTATTGTTCTTACTTTTACCAAGATTCCCTAATAAATAATACTTAAATATCGATGGCTGTTCTAGAATAACAAAGCCTATTATTGTTCCTACTTTTACCAAGATTCCCAAATAAATAATACTTAAATATCGATGGCTGTTCTAGAATAACAAAGCCTATTATTGTTCTTACTTTTACCAAGATTCCCTAATAAATAAAGATCCCCTATAAAGATTTAGAGTATTAATTAAATACCCTTCTTAAGCTTAAGAACAATATTAGATTTGTGCCTATAATACCGACTTGCCTTAGTTTAGCTGTGTCAAATTTTTTTTATCATTGTAAAACTCAAATTTAATCGATAACATTGAGAGAAATCATACATACTAATTGTTTAGTCATAATTTAAATATGCTTATGTAAACAATCAGATTTTATTTGTTAGGCCTTACTAACAAAGTATTGTTAAATTAAGAATTTTTAAACATTATTTGCTTATATACATATAAAGCAATCATTCACACTTATTTAATAACTTCAATATGAACACAAAAGTTCGGGAATATACATAATTTTTTCAAATTCCATTTGCTCTCGAATATTTAAATAAAATTATTTTTTTACATTCCAAAAAAAATGATAGGTCTTTTTAACATTCCTTGTGATTCCCCCATTGAATTTTATGCCTTACCCCCTCCAGAAAGGCATTTTACTTTTCCATTGACGCCTGAAGAAAATTTATTGATAGCAACATTTGGAGGCAAAGAAAAAGCAAAAGAAAAAATTGGGACAAAATATTTGACAGATAAACGGGAATTTGTAGAAAGAGATAAAGAAGAGGTAATTTTTTGATATTTAAATTAAGGATCGAACCGAGACAAGATCTCGAATAAAATCTCGGTTATCGAGAGGATGTTTTTTTTAATCGAACACAATTCTCGTACGCCCTCCCAGCCCGGTCTCTAAATACTAAATTTTAACTGATTTGTAACAAATTTTCTTGATATTCTATTGCATCAATAACTTGACATTTTATGTCTCGAAAATATTTTAATTGACACATCCCCTCTTAAAAATTTAATGTGTTCTAATTTTGATTAAAATAATTTTAAAAATCTATCTAATCCTTAACTGGAATCCTCTTCTTAACTAATTAATTTTATGATTTTTATTTTTTAAAATCAAAATTAATTATATTTTTAAGCCTCTCTCTTCAACGGAGGCATGGAAACTTTTAATCCTTCGTTCACAATTGTTAAGACAATATGCCCGTTTAGAATCACCATCTGACTCAATAAAAGCAAAAATAATTAAAAACGCCAAAAATATCCAAAATAATTCAAAATTACAATCCTTCCAATCAACAATTGTTCGTCGACAAGCTTTTAGAATATCATCAAAAGAAGTTTATAAAATTTTAAGAAAATACAAATGAAAAAATTTTTTTATTTTTATTGCTATTTGATTTTTAAATAAATTTGTAAAAATAAGGCAAAATTTAAATTAAAAATTGTTGGGAGAGAGAGAGAGATCAATGAAAGCTTTCTTTTAAATTGCCTCTTTTCTTTTAGCTTTTCATTAATCTTCAAAATTATCTTGTATTTATTGAAGTAATACATAAATAAATTGGCCAATATAACTTGCCACAATAACCCAACAACAAACCTTTTTAAAAAAATAATTTTTCGTGAAAAATATTTATTTATTTAAATTACCGTCACAACAATTAATCGCGGTAAATAATTTAGTGAAAGAGCCCCAGGCTCTGGAGACGGATGAGGAGTATCTCCTCCTCCTTTATGTCCACCAATTTCTTGATTTAAATACAAACTTTCAATTATTGCTATGCCAGAAATAAGTAATCCATTTAATAAATGCATAAAAAGTAACTAAAAATATATTAGGGGGGAAGATTTATAAATTTAAGTTTTTAAGAAGAAGGAAGTCAAGCTTCCCCACCAAACACTGCCTCTCTCACTTGAATTCTCCCTGATTCTATATCCATTTACAAAAAGGGGAGAGCTATTCTATTTATAACGAGGAATTGAGAAATTATTTAACAGAAAAAACAAAGAAAGTTAGTTAGGTCTTCCTCTAAGGATTAATTAAAAGACTCTGGGTGTGACTATCTAAAGTATTTTTACTCAAAAATTCTCAAAATTAAGAACCTTTGGTTTTCCAATTTTTTCAAGTAAATCATTAACAAATAATTGTTGAAATAATATTCCCAATCCATATAACCAACTTAATGACAAAATAACTAAAACAACGGTTGCTAGAGGCTTTTGTCCCATATAAAAAAGCCAATAAAGTTCATCGTTTGTGTCATCCCAAAGTAAATAACCAGCCAATAGAGCAATTAAACCCAAAAACTGTTTAAATTTTGTTTTGATTCAAAATATTATGTATATGTAGATTTTGGAAATTTCCTAGGTTCTGGCCTGTTTATTCATGGATAAACGGGGCAGTGAGGCAATTTTCTACCCGTTTCCTCGAAAACGCCCTTACCCCCCCCCCCCCCCCCGCCTCTACAATTAGCCATTCTCCCGAAATTACCTCCCGTTTTTGTTCAACTCTCCGATTACCTATTTTTCTCCCCATTACTGCGAGCTAGGCAGACTCAAATACTACTTGGAAATGACAATCCAAAGATTGGTAAGATAAAGAAAGTTGGATATCGAAAGAAATACCCCTACTAAATTATCTCAAAGTGTTCGTTATATAAAATTCTCGATAGTAACGACTCCGTTATAAATAATTGGATATAGGTGAGATGTATTTATACGCAAATAAGCATACAAAATGAAGGTTTAAGTTAATTTTATTTTTAAATATTTAAAAGATTACCACTTGAAGAACACTCAAAATACCATGAAGTGTTTTTAAATAAGCAAATCCCATATTTAATTTTTAATTTGTTGCTTTTATCAAAAATAATTGTAAAAATTTTGAAAAATTCAATTCGTTCGAATTTTAAATTTATTTTTTTACCTAAATTAAGAAAATAAAAAGGGAGAAAAATATAGTAAATATCAATTAAAGGTTAAATATTCTTTTAAAAATTCCTATAAATAAATAAAATAGTTAACTGATAATGTAAATATTGTTAACATTTTTTCTTAAATATATATATTTAATGATAAAAAATTTAAAACAATTTTTGTGGTGACAGATTGAATAAATGTGATTGAAAAGGGAAAGAGAAAAGAATAAACAATGTAAATGAGTATTAAAATTAAAAATATTTTTAATTTAAAAATAAATAGGAGAGTTAAATTTAAAAATAGAAAAGAGGAGAGAATACTAATCCAATTTATAAAATTAGGAAAAATTTTTTTAAATTAATTTTTAAACACGAGTATTGTCTAAATTAAAATTAATTTAAAGATTTATACATAAATAATTATTGATTTAATTATTTAATTATTTAAAATTAATTAAAAATTAATTTTTGGGACACGCCCAAGTAGGCGCGCTGCCATAACGGCGCAAACCCATAACCTGCTGGAATATTTCTGGCTCTTATCAATTTTGGTACCAATCTCTTTAGCTCGATGAGAGAATTGTTTAATACTTAAGTTCGACAGATTTGAAAATCTTGAAGCAGGTTATGGCCGTGCGTCTACTTGGGCTGTACCCTTAATTTTCTATTAAAATATTTTAATTTTAACAAATTATTTCTGGCTGAAAAACCAAAAAAATATTTAAGGATAAAAGAGATGAGAGAATACCTTTACTAATACCTTGTGGTGGTTGTCAACAAACAAACTAGTAAGTAAAAAATAAAATAGTAGTCAATAGAAAGCCAACTTTACAATAAATATTTTCACGTGTCATCAACAGAATATTTACCTTTTCTTTCTCTTTTCTCTTACTCCAAACACACCTTTTGTTCATTCTCCTTTCAAAATCCATAAAAAATTTTTCTTTTCAATTTTTTGAGGTTTAAGCTTTTCTACACAATTTTTTTCTTTTCTTTTATTTTATGAATAAAAATTCTTATCAATTTTCAAAAGGTTTCTTTTCCTTCTTAAGTGATTTTTTGAAATATTTTATATCGATTTCTTTTATTTCTTCACGTCATTCTTTTATGGATTATATTTTAATATTTTTTAAAACTACGTGGAATTTTAGTATTTAAGTTAATATAATAATTTTGAATGGAAATTAAACAAAAAGTTTTTGAAAGAATTTGTTTAAAATTAAATGGAAGAAAAGAAGAATTATATTTTAATTCTTTTACTGTTTTCCGAATAATTAACCTGTGTAATTTCTATTTCGACCTCTTGATGGAGGCGTAATTAATCTTTGGGCCCCGAAAAATTGTAAAAAATGATAAAACGAGTATTTAGTTCTGATAAAATCTTAATATCAGGCTTGGAAAATTTGATAATTCTGACTAAATACTGTGAACATATTATTTATCTCTAAAGATTTTTTATACGTCTTAGCTTGATAAAATACATAACAAAAAAAATAAAAGTATTTGCTTTTTTTTAACTTTTAAATTAAAAATTTTATAAAATTTTATTTTTTTCTCAAAATTTGATTAAAAATAAATTTTATTTTTCAATAAAATCCTTTAATTTTTTGATTTTTTAAATTTCTTTTGTTATGAAAAGATTAACTGTTGAAAAGAAAAGAAAAAAGAATTTGCGGTAAAATTTGTATGTCGTTAAGAACAACTCTATTTAAAAAAAGGAATTAAAAAATACACAAAAATACTTGAAATAAAAAAGAAAAAAATTATTTGTTAATTTGTGCTTCTTTTACTTCCTCCGCGCAACATTTACATTTGAATAACACAAAAAGAAGAATGCCGATTTCCTTTTTTGTGGATTGTTGCGCTTTGTATGAAGAGATTAAAATTTAATTTTTTTTAATAATTTATCTTCCATTACAAATTTAATAAGTCCAAAAGAAACTACCTATTTATCCATCGTCCATAAATTCTTCAATTCTTGTAAATATTTTAAAATTAACTTTTATTACTTTAATCTCCCAGTGAAGAAAGGGGGGGGGGGCATTTACTATAAATAAATTTTAAGAGATTAATACATGTCTTCTCCATTATCCATGATTCCGATATCCATGCTCTATAATATATTTATTATTTGGTATATTAATTTTCTTAATGTATTACAAGCAAAATAATCTGTTTTTATTAAATTTGGGAAAAGTTATGATAGAAGCAAAAGCTACGTCATTATGCTCACACCTTGTATTAATATAAATATTTATATGTATATTTTTCTTTTGTTATCCATGAATTTTCTTTAACTAAACAAACTTTCTAGTAAATCTCAAAAATTTTAAGGCCAATTTTGACCGTTGAGCCGTTTAAATTTGATTTGTTCTCTTTTTAACTTAATTTTAGTTTTTTTTCCAACTAGAAAAGAAGGAAGGGATTGTGAAGAGGGGGCGAGGGAAAACAAAATAAATTAAATCAAATTTAGAGGAATTCACTCAAGGAGAAAGAAAATAATTTTTAAAAAAGATTTTTATTTTTATCTTTTCTAAATTTAAACAAAATTTGATGTTATTGTTTATAATCTTTTTAAAAATAAGAATAACAATTGGATTATTCTAGATTGTATTTTTAAATAATTAATTATATGCTACAAACAAAATTAATAAAATCTTAATTTTATTTAACAATTTTATGAGGTGTTTAATAAGGATGGCGGATTAGGATATCCGGATCCGAAAAAAGGCCGGATATCCGGAAATCCGGTTTAAGGATCCTGTTTAAAAAAATTACCTAACCCCGCCTTTAAAGTGTAAAATGTTTCAAAATTAAAAAGCTTCTTAGAAAAATAGCTTTGGCAATAAAATGTTTAGCAATCATTTTGTTAAATTAATAAAAGATTTAGGAAATAAAAAAGAGGTTAAAGAGGACAACAAAAATTAAATTAAATTATATGTAGAGGTCAATATAATTGTATTAATTCTTCCCCCCCCCCCTTCCCCTCCCCCTCCTTCTCTAATTCTTCTAATCCAAAGAATTCCATTTAGCAGCTAATTTGTCATCTTTTTCCGGTCAAATAGTGAAAATAAAGAAAAGGAAAGGGAATTGTGCAATCCCTGAAGGGCACCAATTTGTAAACACATTTTGTACCTCATTTTGTTGGATTTTTGGACATTAACTTAGTAATCTTTTCTTTGGTTGACTTTTGAATTTTAAATTATTTAAATTGAAATTATTGTTGTGAACGAATATATTATTTTATTAAAATTAACATTTTTATATATTTTGTATTTTAAATTTAAATTTTAGTTGTTGAAAATAAATTGTTTTCTAAATAATTTTCAAAAATAAATGCCATTAGAACATTTAGAGAAGTAATTAAATGCAAGTTAGCTAATGTAAGGCTGTGAATAGATAATACAGGAAGTTGATTTTAAAACTTCGAGATCTACTACGACTTACTATATCACTTGCACAACACAGTAAAAGTAGTACTACAATTACTGCCATACGCTTAAATGTTTAAAAATTATATTCAAAATTTCTTTTAAATATGTATATGTATAGTAATTAGTATATAGATATATAAATTTATTTCTCTACTACATTTTATCCTTCCCGCAATTCTCTATATAATTATATGTATGTTATTTTACTAAAGTACTTTAAACGAAGAATTAAGTATTATTATATCATAGGATAAGAGAGGATCTGTAAAAGAAAGATTTTTCTGTCTTCTTTCTTAAATATATTTTTGTAACACATCTGCCCTTATATTTAAAATCTGTCCACTCTGGATTCTGTAATATATAAAATAAAGTGGCAATTGAAGAATTTGAAAAATTATTTGAACGGTCAGTGAAGACTAATATTGCTGTTATGTAATTGTTATAAAATTTGAAGAAAATTTTA